TTACCTTTTGAGTTGAATAAAGACACTGATCGACGACCTATTTCTGGTGCAATTGGATTTGCGGAAATAGAGGCCTGGACGTATCTGAATCTAGCTGGTGCAATTGGATTTGCAGAGATTCGGGACTGCATTAATTGGCAATTGGATTTGCTAGATTAAAGACAGGAAATAATTGTATCTGGAGGCCCTATATACGGCTGGCCAGGATTATAATCGTAAAGTCATGGGAGACAAAGACGATTATAGAATGGCAATCTTCAGTGGAAGATTGGAGGATTGGGACGCGTGGAAACGCGATATCGAAGGCTTCATTGGTGCCAAGGACCCAGAGATGGCAGATATCATTGTTGGATTAACCAAGTCACCGATTTCTGGGGACGAGGAAAAATCTTATGATGAGAAGAATGCGAAGGGTTACGTCACGCTTAAGAAGTACCTATAAGGGGCGGCAGCGAATCTTATCGAAAAATTCCGTTTGGATAAAGATGGAGCTGGTGCGTTTAAAGCACTCACTGACAAATATGAATTGAGAGGAGAAACTCAAAAGGCATTACTCATGTCTGAGTTTAGTCATCTCAAGTTTGATGAAAATGGTGACCCGAGTGAGACCTTTGAAGCAGCGGAAGAACTAGCGAGGAAGATGAAGAATCGTTTCGACATGGATATTAATGAATCCATGCTTCTCACACACCTGATTAACAAAATTCCATCGGCATATGGAATTGTTAAAGTGAGTTTGGAAACACAAGATTTGATGACATATTCCAATCTAAAGTCCAAAATGAGCAATCATTTTGTGACAAATATAGCCAATAAGGTCAAGGATGACCAGTGCTTAGCAGTTAATTTCGTTGGATACTGCAATTGGTGCAGGAAATACGGGCATAAAGAAGTTGAATGCCTCGTAAAGAGAGATGGTGGAGGCCGAGCGGGACCTCCCCATAATGGAAACAAATTGGGCCGGTATGAGCGTGTACCTGGCAACCCCTACAATGGCCCTGGCAAAGGCGGACGCAATAATTTCGGACGGGGAAACGGAGGCCGTGGAGGCCGAAATGGACGTGGACGCGGCAAGGGATTGCACGGTGGCAATGGTTGCCGATACTGTGGAGCTGCGGACCACTGGGGAAATGAATGCCCCAAGAATAAAACGGAGCACTCCTATACATGCTTGCTGGCCACCAAGGATGTATCTGGAAACCTGAAACATAAGTCGGAATCACTTGATTGTCTGAAGCGATATACACAGGATATGAATATATCATTTCGTGATCACAAAGTGAATACTTTGCGCGGATTAAGATCGGACAATGGAGGTGAATACACTGGCGTAGACTTTAAGAACTTCTGCAAGAATCATTGTATTAGACAAGATTTCAGTATGCCATATGGACCACAAGATAATGGTGTTGCTGAAAAATCATGGCACATATTATCCAATATGGCGCGGAGTCTTCGTATACAGGCCGGACTGGAAAAACGTTTTTGGGCTGAAGCACTAAATACTGCAACCTATATTTGGAACAGATCGAGGAATTCTGTTTTGGGTGCAGGTGAAACTCCCTACTACAAGATGTTTGGAAAGCATGCTAGTGTGAAGCATTTTAGAACTTTTGGATGCAAGGCATTCGTCCATGATACGTCTGTTAGGAGGGGAAATTTTGATTGTCGTGCTCTACAAGGAATCATGATTGGCTACGATGACATCGGGAATAATCCTAAATGTTATCGGATCTATATACCTTCTCTAGGAAGATATATCAGATCTGGTCATGTGACTTTTGATGAAGCAACGTTTCCAGCAGCGAAGCACAAACGACCAGTTTCTAGAGTTGAACTACACGACGATGTAGAAGAAGATGACGTAGAATCTATCAAGACAGTTGGGGCTCATCAGGAAGATGAGGTACCACCTACTAATACAAGTGAGGATGATGATGACATCGAAGATGATTTATATCAAGACGAACGACCCGATGATCGTGATGTCGATCATGTCAGGGAGGATCCGTCGCAAGTGGGGGCGGGCGACAGGATGGAAAGATACGGATAATATTGTTGGGAACATGAATAATATGGGACCCACGCGAAGCAGGACAAAGGCTCGCGAACATCATCGATTGGATGATGGATTAATAACCATGGGAGGTGATTTGGCCTTCGCTGCAGCCTCAGAAATCGTCAATGAGGACTATCATCTTACAGAAGATGAGAATGAGGTGCGAGCTGAAAGAAAGAAGGATGCGGAGTACCAGGCGCATATGAAAAACGGTATATGGGAATTAACCCCTTTACCGAAGGGAGAACGTTGTATCTCAAGTGGCTGGGTGGAAATTGATAAGCGAGATCAGAATGGTGTTATTGTGAGGAGAAAGGCGAGATTTATCGCCAAAGGTTATGGTCAAGAATTTGGCTGACTACCTCCACACTTATGCACCTGTTGCATCGATAACCACGATTCGTTTGGTATTGGCCCTAGCATGCATATTGGATCTTGAGCTGGATAACATGGATGTTGGAACAGCTTACCTTCAATCAGACCTTGAGGAAAAGGTATATGTTAAACAGCCAATTGGATATATGAGCAATATGGACCGAATGGAGAGGAGCTAGTTTGTCGATTGCGTAAGTCGCTATACGGACTTAAACAATCTGGACGTAACTGGCATAAGAAGATTGATGGATGGTTCCGAGGATATGGTTTCCATTCTTCTTCTGTGGATCCATGCTTATATGTGAAGTTTGGATCTAGTGGTGAGATGTTGGTTGTCGTCTTATATGTAGACGATTTAATTATTGCTAGTAATTCTAGGACAATGGCCGATAAATTCAAGCAAGCTATTTCAAGGAAATTTAGCATGAAGGACTTGAAGGAACTTGATTGGATACTGGGTATGGCAATCAAACGTAATAGAGAGAATAGAACCATGGAAATCTCTCAAACGGCATACATTGATATGGTACTCAAGAAGTTTGGAATGGCTGGTTGCAAACCAGTTTTAACACCAATGGAAGGGACTCTGACGAAAATGGATGGCAAGGACGTCAAACCAGATAGTGAATACATGAAGCTAGTGGGTAGCTTATTGTATGCAGCACTGGTCACGCGTCCAGACATTGTATTTGCGGTGCAGTCGTTGGGAAACACTTGCAAGGATCTAATGAAGAGCATTGGATTGCTGCAAAGCGTGTATTGAGATACCTGAAGGGTACTAGTGAGGTTGGACTCAAAGACACAGGTAATTCTATGGGATCGTTTACTCTGGTGGGATTCGCGGACGCGGATTACGCTGGTGATAAAGATAACAGACGTTCGACGTCTGGTTATACTTTTACGTTGAGTCATGGAGATGATATCAACACGATTGATTGGAAAGCCAAGCAACAAGATGTGGTGGCTCTATCGTCGGCTGAATCGGAGTTGATATCTGCTTGTTCAGCGACACAAAATGCAGTTTATACTCGTCAATTACTTATGGATCTTGGATTCAAGCAAGATGAAGCTACCGTGATTATGGAGGATAATCAAGCTTGCATTGCGATGGGGAATAATCCGATTACGCATAAGAGGACGAAGCACATTGATGTTCGATATCACTTTGTGCGTGAAAAGGTTGAGAGTAAGGAAGTGGATCTGGTATACATTCCTACTCAGCATCAACTTGCGGATATTCTAACTAAACCCTTATCAAGTATTCGATTAGCAATGATACGCAATCGAATAATGGGTTATAAGTCTTAATTGGGATCTGGAGGCAGCTGAGGAATCAGTGTAGATATATTAGAGATGAGAGATATGGTCCTTATCTTAAGTACGCGAGTTATAGGATTAACTGCTTTGGATCATACATAATGATTAGGAGTACGAGTGGGGGTGACGCGAACATAAGGATGACATGATGATGCTAAGGGAGCATGAGTTCAACGATAGGAGGTTAAGCGAGCCGTCTTACAGTGTTGCACCTATATCCTTGATGGATCCAACAGTCTGTATCGCGATGTGCTGATCGCTACTGTATCATGTCATGGTTTGCGTCCACCTAATCATTTATATGTTATATTATCGTACGACAACAGGACTGGCGTCGACCAGTGTCTTTGGTTGTCGGTCGTATTGGTTATCTTAGTACACGATTCTTGGGTGAATCGATTGGTCTCATTCTCAGGGAGAATAGTAATTGTACTGAAGAATCAACTGGATATTGGGTTATCCACAGTGGCATTAGTTTGTTTATTCGCATCATTATGAACGGAGAGACATTCTGTGCATTTCTTTCTTTTCTTCTCTGAGCTCGTAATGTGAGCTTACCCGGGAATGTTACATTCCTTCCCAGAGGTCGTTCCCCTCCCTTCACCCTCGTAGAGCTCGCTGCTTACTTGCTCTGAGGGGCGACCCGACACGTTTTTACAGTGGTAGCAGCGGTAGAAAGTGTGGTCGTGCGGAATTGTAGAATATGTGCCGCACCCAAACGATCCAAATGAGGGCGTGTCCGGATGACACGGGAACTGGAGGGGGGTAATCAACCCTTCTTGATACACTTCTTACATCCGGCAAATATTTCACTCTCTGAAATTAAACAAGTTGTAAAGAGCGGATGTCAATAAGATCGGCTGCAACGGCGCATCAAAATACACCAATCATGGCAGAAGAAGGGGGCACATAGGGCCCCACGAAGTCGAAACGCCCTAAGGGAGGGACTCTCTCAGCAGCAAAGATGCAGCCAGCTACTCAAGAGGAGATTCTCGCGGAACTATACAAGACCTGGAAGAAAAACACTCTGCCGTTCACAAAACAGATGGATGCGTATCAGGTCTTCTGCTTCGTCTGACTTATCAACCCGGAAATCCGCATCGCCGCGAAGCATGATATCACCGCTACAGTCCCAGGGGCTTTACATCCTCTTAAAGAGAGCGGTGCATTCTTGAAACATGCTCAAGGTGAAAAGTTGCTAAATATAATCCTTTAAGGACAAGGCCCGAATGAAGTTAAGGCCCACGAGGACCTCGGCCCCAGTTTGGCTACTGCCTTAAGAGCGAGACGCAAGAGGGCGGAGGGAGAAGCAGCAACCCTAACCCTAACAGATAAGCTTCACGATGAGGGACTATTCGCAAACCTCCATCGGATAGTGAACGCAGTCGGATCCACCGTCAACATACTCGTGGAGACGAAGAGCCTCCAGGACGGGCATACGTTTACCCAATTCCTGCAAGCCTTGGAGCGAGCGGAGAAGAACAGCAGCCTGTACTCCACCGGAAAACGGAAAAATCTAGTTCAAGCCATGGATGAAAGGAATTCCACAACACGAGATAAGTCACACGAGATGCTTCAAGCCATTGCCGAACACAAAGGGGCGGTGGAAAGCAACTCCAAGATGATGGAAGAAATCAAGAACCGGCCATCAAGAGACCAGGGCCCACAATGGCCCCGGGGAGATCACACGCGGTTATATCGAGACAATCCCCGACCGCCTGCAGATGGACCTCGACACTTTTAACAGAAAAACGGTGAAATGCTTCAGATGCCGAGAATGGGGATATTAGGCGAAAGATTGCCCCTACTCCTTACACCAAATCAGAGCGGCCCTCCCATCTGCAGAACATCCAAGGCCTCCTATGACCGGACAATACGACTGACGCCCGATCTGGCCCCTCAACCCCCAGATCGTCCAAACGGGAGGCCGCCCGCTCTACATCCCTATTAGGAAGTCGCAGTGGGCGAGAACATACAAGCATAAACAAGTCAAGAAGAAGAGGGCAACAAATGGTCAGAATCACACATGTGGATAAAGACCTTGAAGACAAGCTACAGGACGTAGACGAAAGAATCAATAGATGGATACATGGTTATTTACCGCTACGAAGAGGTAACCTCAGCGATGCCGGTTGGGGAACGATGCCGGGAAGGGCCCGATGCTGGGATGGGCCCGATGCCGCCGGGGGCGAAGACGCGTAAAGAGAGGAGCCTGAGGGGAGATGTCTCCTCAGCAAGAAACAAAAGGAAGGGATACATGGAATTATGCATGGGAATATACATGGAAAAATACATGGCGATAAGGAGAATAATCTACCGTTGACCCGTCACTCGACGGCCAAAGTAGTCTTGCAATTAAGCAACGATGTAGCGGTACAGGCATTACTTGATACGGGAACGGGGAGGAGCTTCGTTCAAGCGAAGTGGTGGGCACAATGTCGGCCAAGATCAGACGACGAGCCGGAGAAAAACCACTCCAAACGAGAGGAGATTCAACTCGTGGGAGCAGATGGACGACCTTTAGACACACTCGAGGTCGAAGATATTACGGGTCAAAGATATTACGGGTCGAAGATATTACATTTCAGATGGGAAATCAGGTGCTCACCCAAGAAGTAGCAGTGGTGCGCGAACTCAAACAATAGCTAATACTAGGCTGGGACTTTACTCAGCGGACGAATGCCCTTATCGATTTTGAGACGGACAGCGTGGTACTACCGGGAGCATCGGGCGCATGCTACATACCAGCTTGAATTAATAGCGGGAGTGGGGGTCGAAGGATGGGGACCCTACAAAATTTTAAGAAGGGAAACGATTACAGTTCAGCCCGGGAGTGCTCACGTACCAGCGACAGTGCAACCTTTCCCAGAAGGCCACACCGCCCTCTACGTGCACTCGGGCCAAACCAATCCGGGACTTATCACCGCTCCGGGTAATTTGGGGGCAACTCAAGGCATAACCTACGTGAGAGTGCTGAATTTGACCCATCAGCCCATTCAGATGCGAGCGGGGGAAAGACTGACGACGGGGTCGAACATGATGGCTCCGGGGAACCAGATCTATTTACTCTCCGACACCGCAGGGGTCGATTCTGAAGATGATCTGAAGCCGGAGGACTCAGAGGAAGCAAAGGATGGATCTTGAATCCCAGTAGACCTGACAACTTCAAATCATTCAACTCAAGAAAAGGAGGAATTCGACATCATGTTCCGGTCAAAAGCCGAATCTTTCGCTCGGGACTATTGAAGTTAAAGATAGACACGGGATCCAGTCGTCCCCTCGCCCAACCACCGTGACGAATGCCACGAATAACAGATATCTGGCTTCTGAAGAAGAAAATAGTAGTTGTTATCGTCTCCTGGCTAGGTCCGATTGGATAAGATCCGGGGGCTCACAAGCTCACGAAATAGAAACTTGGGGTGTGAGCGGGATTCTTTTTCGGGGCCAGGATTTCGAAACTTCCTCTATATGTCTAATATGTCCAAGAAAAGCCATCGAAGGGCCCCAACAGCGTAAAAATATGTCAATCAATTGAAAAAGGCTAACCAGTTTGCGCGCTCCACGCGCTTTTCGAGCTCCTCTCGGCCGACAGCCGACGCTTCCTTCGCCCCAAATCCACTCAACCGTGTAAGAGTGAATGACTGGCTTAAATCTTTTATACTAAAATTAAATTCTTATTGGACACAAAATCATCATACCCCAAAAAATACTTATCGTACAGAAAGGCCAATGAAGCTACCGGTACAGGGGGCGACGGCACCATCGTCGATCTGAATGCGGAGGTATCACTGTACGACCATCGCGGACGGACGTACAGCGGCATCAAGGAGACGGCGTTGGTGAGGATGAGCAGAGCCGCATTTGTCGTGCACTGCGCCGACTGCCGCATGCCCCGCGTGAGGCACGTGGAGGAGGCGCAGCGGGTGACGGAGGCCATGTGGGAGGAGAGCATCTACACGTGCTGGGACCGCTGCCTGTACTTATACATCCTGAAGGAAAGCCCCAGCTAGATGGCTAACGGAAATAGCCAGGAGAGGTTTTTCGATGAGGAGGTTGCGGTGAAGGGGAACGAAGAGGTAGGGGTGGTAGACGTGGTGGAGGTTGAGGGGCTGGGCGTCAGCTCCAAGGTGGACTGCCCCATTCCTATCCACAATTACTTGTACAACAACAACCCCGCGGCACGAGGCGGCCAGCGTCTCACCGTCTGCTGCTACTGTGGCAGGAAGGCCCCAGAGACGCCGTCAGAGGGGAGCAAAGAGCGTATCACTTTTGTTTGCGCGTAATTAATTTGATGGACGTTCGCAACTTCGCACCTCTTCAATGGTGCGACCACTCCCTGGTGTTGGATAGTCTGAGTCGCCGGAGATATAGTTGGCACCATCTCATCAGAAAATCAAAGGATTCCTACAATTTATCTACAATTGTATTTACTGTATCTTTGTCTTCCCTGCGGGAGTCGTAGATCTGTTTGGCTTCTTCCCGAGCAATGCGACGCCGTGTGGCACGAGAGGGTTGGACCTTTGCCAATGGCCTATATGACTTTAAGAGATCATAACCCGACGCACCCGTGCTACGCGAGAAGAAACACTTATGATAGAGACTCTTGCACTGTTATTATTTCCATGGGAATGCAAAAAACTCTCCCAAGGTCATTTCCCTTGTCTTTCAATAGCATCTTGTGGGCGTCGCTTGAAAAGGATAGACCAGTGTTTTGACACATTTAGATAGGAAAAAATCACATTCCGTATTACAAGCTGACTTGGCCACATTATTTGGAAGGCAGTAATACTCGAAAAATACGTAAACATGAGTTTTCTGAACAGAAGTGGGATGCGAATAAATAATACAAAAGCCGTGGATCACCCAGAAACCTAATTCTTTAACAACAGAGCTGCTTTAAACATCATGTCGAGAATTTGTGTCTGGGATTCTCTACACAATCAATCCTCCAATCAAATAATGCGGTTATATCGCTCTATTCTGTAGAAGAGCGTAGATTAGACGTACTTTAGTGCACCTAGATACGAGGGGGCCGCGCTGACGAAGTGAATCTACTTTTCTAAAGATGCAATGTAGGAAAGTATGCATCTTATTCTCTACCAGCGCTGCAATATGCTGAGGAACACCTTCGATGAACAATGGTCTAGCTGCAAAATCTAGATATAGGCGATCGAATCTATTCTGTCCACCACATTTTCCTCAACCCGCCAAGTGAAGAAGAGTTGGGACGGACGGCAAATTCATTCAGAGCGAGAAAAGCATTTTTATAGAGAAGCGATCCTCATTTTTTTCGCGTGTCTAGACATGTGATCGGATTTGCCTCACACGATCGAGCTACTTACCGTCGTGCACCTTGATAAAAATATCTTCGGATCCACCATTGAGGGTTTTATGATTTTGATATCAGCCTTCAGGGACGGATACTGAATCAATTCATCTCGGCTTTGCAGATCAGATTCCTCAATAGGATATTATGAGTGTGCATGAAACAGGTATTGTGATTTACTAAGCAATGCACTTTATACGGATCGTACATGGGACATTGATATTCATAACAATTCTAGCGAAAGAATCGGTCTTACATGTAATGAGGTCTTAATCATGACCATAGATTAGGATAACGTAAAGAGGTACACAGGAAAAAGCGTTTCCTCGGACTGTCGAACAGAACAAGCATGCATGCGGACAGATAATTTTCAAGACGTGGCATAGCGTAGCGCTTTGCATTGAAGTACATTCATATTAAATCTACAGTTTGGGGAAACACAAGACTAGAAATAGACTTGAAAGAGAAAAACACGTGCGGCATGAATGAAGGCGTTCTCTATAGATATTCACAAAAATAGGGAGAAATGGAAAAACTAATAATTAGATCCCACAACCAATTTTTTTGAAAACTCACGAGCTTCCTGTGAAGCAAAAGTATAGGGCTTAATTTTTCCAAAAAGAATATCAATAGCTCTACATCTCCTTTTCTTTCCCTGCTAACACCCAATTATTATGTTGTGAGATATTTAAATCATCGTATGTACACTGCCTACCAAGTCATTTGTTATGGATCAATCTATGCGATCATGACAGACCTAAATGCAAGTACGTCAAAGAGAAATATAGAATGTAAGATACGTCAGACCGATGAGGCACGCTTTGTTCTCAGTGCTCTATTTGCGCCTTGGTGTTGCTTTACGGGAAAATGCATACTTCCTACAAAAAACATCCTGTTTTTGGAAATTCTGACACTAAACTGAACATCAGTCGTTCCTAATATTTCCTTGCCGACAACGAGTGAATTTTGGTGAAGACGAACCGACAGTCAATCTGTGGGTGTGCATAATTCAAATGAAATCCCCTGGACATCACAGCCAAGTGATTCTTTCTTTGTTAAAAAGTAGCACACGCTTATTTATCTGATTGTTTCTTCTTCGCATGTCCGTGGACTGTTTGTAACTTCATAATTGGAATTCCCTTTTAGTTATGGAAGAAAAGTAACTTCTTCACAACCTTAGCTCTTGCGCCAAGTTCAAGCGCTCGTGCAGCAAACAACCAATCAGCATTATGTGCTTGCTCCGCTCTGGACCCTACAGGCAAAGATGCAATAAATCCTTGCACGGACGTTACAATTCTTTTCGAAAAAAGTATACCACCCAAGTCCACGGAACCTAATCTCCACTCACCTCCCAGAAGAATCCCACTGGTGGTAAAATCAGTCGTTACCATGTCCCATAGCTCTCCTCTTTCCCAGGCAAGCATTCTTTCTGTGTATTTGTGCATTACCTCCCCCCGAACGTCTTGAAAAGCATTGGATAATCGCTGGATTGACCCATTTTGCGTATCAGAGGGCAGTTCAAGCTCTAGTAATGTCTCTTTTAGATAGTTTGGATGGTAACAGTTGTCACCATTTGTGACAACAGCATGCGTGCACCATGAACATCGAATTAAGTCCGCTACAGCCACGTCTGTTGCTTGATAGAACACATGATTGTCATAACGGCAGATCTTAATCATGGACGCCTTTCCTTCTTTACGTGCTATTTCTCGCGCCTCCTCTTTCGAGCACTTGAAAGGCGCCGCGCGTTTAATTGCAAGATCAAAAAACTTTTCGTCAATATCAAGAGCGTACACGTGGGGAAAGGGCTCTACTGTGTTCAACCAAAAGTATCGCGCGATGGAGTCAACCACGGGTATACCGCGAAGCTCAGTCGGTACCAGGGCGAAGTCCATGCTCAGTGTAGGGTAGGGAAAAGAAACGGAAAGTCGTTGCTGGTATGAGAGACTATGAATCAGCCCTTTCACTAGATCAGCCTGTTCGTGGTGAACTCGAATGATGACCCGCACATGATGGTGGATGCTGGTGGCATTCGACACAGAAGGTGCTCTCAGTCCTTGACTGCCCAGCCAGGGTTTTGACTCCTCCTTGAATGGATGAAATGGAGTAGATGACAAGATGGTTGCCGTGTTTGATGATAAAGATGACGGTAATGATGCAGACAAAAATAAGCGCAGCAAGATAATAGTGAGCATTCCAACCGAGCATTGCAAGAGCACTCGCCCGATTCGTTGCCGCGTGTGCCGCCGGATAGGCTTCCTCCCGAATGACATTCTCTTTATTTAGAAAGGTATGAGGGTGCATGTATATGAGTACAAAGTCGCGAGTTCAAATATCCTCCTTGAGAAGGTATTTAATTAAGTCGAGGAAAGCAATTTAGAACACTATCAGATGTGACGGATTTTTCTTGTACCCACAAGTCTCTTCATACAAAGTTGCATTAATCGTTGCAATAATCGTTGCGCATACTCTGTCAATCGTTTCTCAAATCACGCAAGTAAAAGATTCAATCGCTCTCTGGGGGATATGTACATATCCAACTCTCAGAGCGAACGTTAATCAAGTCAGAGAAGGTGAGGCTGAGGGCAGCTGAACGCTTTACCGTGCTCATATCGGAAAGGCATGTTATGATATCTTGTCAGCGTGATAGCCATCGGAATTCCTCAACCCGACACTAGAGTCCCACATGTTTTTCCTTTAAAAACCACGGTTCCATTTTGAGAAAGTATAAAAGTCGGTATACATGCACGACTCAAGAACACTGTTCGCAGACATAGCGCATCATCATGAAGATCACCGCGTTTTAACGGCTGGAAGAGTCTAAGTACCAGGGGATATTCCGACTTGCATAATCAAAGTGGAATCGAAAGCGCGAGTGGAGACATCGCAGTGCAAATAAAGTGTAAATGAGATGCAATCGGAATAGATTCATTTCAAGGCTGTCTAAGGGTCACAGAAGGCTCCTAATATGTTTCTAAAGGCTAAATTAGCAAGTACTCTCAAAGTCCCCCTTGGTATGTGAAACGGTACCGCAGCTTTCTTCTATCGCACTCTTCGCGTGCCATCGAGCTTTTACCTTATTATCGATGCCATTAATATTTATCTTATATCGACAATACACGCATCACCTGCGACTATATCTCCTAATTTCTTCCTGCTGTGAAATCTACAGTATAAGCCCCTCACGTAGAGCATATTTATCTTTGTCTGACCTTGAATATAAATCTCACCTTAGCACTGTCTTACAGGACACAGTGTCTCGCGCGACAGTTCTATATATATAAAAGCAAGGTTTGGCGTCTTGATAAAGAAATGGCACTTGTAAAGCGCGTCTGTAGAACAGCAGCCATCATGGTCCTGAGCTCGATGATCTTTTGGGGACTTATAACCTACTTTACACTGCAACACATGCTTGAGGATGATTCGAATGAGCCTTTCAATTTTATTTCTACAGAGGAAGATGTCAATTACACAGAAGGAAGAGTCGCATCCTTAGATCTTGAAAACGCAACAGTTCTGATAACAGGCATTGCGGGATTTATAGGATATTCAGTAGCCTCTAAACTTCTCGACCGAGAGACTTGTAATATTGTTGGCGTTGATAATTTCAACGATTACTACGATGTATCATTGAAGTATAAGCGAGCAGACTTATTGAGTTACTGGGATAAGGTACGCATAATTGAAGGGGATGCATGTAATGCTACCCTTATGCGGAACGTTCTGGAAGAGTACAAGGTGACCCATGTACTACATTTAGCAGCTCAAGCTGGTGTGCGATATTCGTTGGAAAACCCGTTAACCTACGTACGCAATAACATTCAATGCTTTGTTGTCCTCCTCGAAGAGCTTAGACGCGTCAAAGCGAATTCCGAAAATGGTTTCGTCCCTCATCTTGTGTATGCGTCGTCATCCAGTGTCTACGGCGGCAATAAAAAGGTGCCCTTCGAAGAGATTGATCCTGTTGAAAATCCCTCGAGCCTTTATGGCCTGACAAAACGAGTAAATGAGCTTCTAGCGCTGGTGTACTCTCGGAATTTTGGTATTTCTTCTCTAGGTCTACGATTTTTTACTGTGTATGGTCCCTGGGGCCGGCCTGACATGGCGCCATACAAGTTTACTGAAAGCATCCTTAAAGGAGGGAATATTACAGTGTTCAATCATGGAAAAATGGCTCGAGATTTTACATACATTGATGATATTGTATCGGGAATAAGTGCTGCGCTAGAATACCAGCCATCTTCTCCGCTGATTTTGAATCTGGGTCATGGCAATCCCGAGAACGTTCTCGATTTGGTCAAAATAATTGAAAATTATACAGGACGGCCTGCAAAGCTTCAGTTCATGGAATCCATTGTCGATTTGCCTCTAACTTCTGCTTCAGTCAAGAAGGCGAAGAAGCTTCTATCGTACTCCCCACGCGTGAGTCTGAGAGAGGGCATGCAAAGCTTTATTGATTGGTATTCTTTATACTCAGGAGAACAATCAATCTGTGCAATAGAATGTGCCGATAAGGACCGTTGTATATCCTCACCATTTGACGATGTTTACGCTGAATCAATCGAAGCAACACGTAACTGTGAAACTGTCGTTTACACTGTCTCTTTCGGGTCGCAATATGGACTTAAGGAACCTCCGTCTACTCTTTCATGTAATAGAGGGTCTTGCTGTTCTATTGCATTCGTGACGAAACTCGGTACGACATCCCATTCGAATAGAATGTGGAAAGAAATACTTGTGAAAGCTGATAAATTCCTATTCTGGGATTCTCGTCGTATGTCGAGAGTCATAAAATTAACGCCAGGCAAATTTTTTTCTCCTTCCGTAAAGTTTGCTATTTACGTAGATGTAAAGTTGCAATTGAATATGGATCCCAGGACCCTTGTCCAAATGCTTGGCGATGGCGTGAACCGTACAGCGAGCCTTTTGGCAGTACGGCATAACGTCAATTCAGATCCGTTTCAAGAACGTTCACATATACTCGGAGCCAAAAAGGTCTTGCGCAGTGCGACTTATACCGTTAAAACAATGAATCATCAAGTTGAGCAGTATAGAAAGGATCTAGCGGCTCGCAACATGTCAATAGGGAACATGATTGATGGAGCACTCTTAGTGCATAATTTAGAATGCTCTTCAGGTCGATCGTTTCGTTGTGCTTGGTCTAAAGAGTACTACAGAGGTTCGGACAGAGATCAAATATCGTTCCCTTGGATTCTTGCATTAGAAGCTAACAAAGCTGGAGTAAATCTTGCAGCAGGAGAAGAATGGTGCAAAATTAGTGAAAATCCGCCGAGCTATGTCAGAATCTTATCAAATGCACTTCATTGGAATAAAAACTCGAGAACTATTGCGGATATTCGGTAGCCAACTTCTGTAGAACCAAAATATATGTGCTACGAATCAACCGCCATAGAAGGGCGACTTTGTGTCAACTCTCGAGGGAAATTACGCATATCACACGCATCATTCATTTCCTTTGACATCGAAACAAGGCAATTCTTCATTTCTGCAAACCGTTCAAAGCTAAACTCGATCCATGATTGAGTTTGTCGATTATGCATTGATCAATACAAAATATTGTTATGGTTTAGGCAAATGGGATGCATAGTGTTCAAATGGTGCCCTTGATATCTCAATATGATGATTCGAAATAAAACACGCTTTGGGCCATTGCATCGACGCGTTTTGGGTATTGTTATACTTTTTAGACTCAGCCCTGGTAGAAAGCATCGATTATGGTGTCTTTGAAGACATGCAAGATGAAGCTATTATGGCTACATGTATGGCCTAATTAAAAGATTAAGCGTTTATACGTAAGAATTTAGATAAGAAGGTAAAAGACATGTTGAGGTATAATCACTTGAGCCAGCTCAAAACGTTTATCGACAACCTAAGCCATGGGTCTGGTACGGTTTTTCATGTCTCCTTGACACTGCATTCGCGCATTCTCTTGCTTATCTAAACACTTTTTGGTATTTCAATTATATATGTGGCGCTTTCAGGTACCGGTCGAGCGATCTCTTGGTGTACCTCTATCGTTCATGTTTCCTCGAGGATATCAAACCAAGCAACTATGGGTTGCTTTCCGTCATAAGAAGGCATTCTATCACATATCAAACACACAAGTATTTCCCCGAAACAATCTGTAGTGCGCTCGAGAGGTAAGCAGTCGTATTTTTTCGTACTAAGTCGACAGACTGGTGGAACACAATGGAAGCCAAGTTTTCAACTCGAATGGACGTCAATCCTCCGGTACAAACCGCTGTTTCTCCAATTGCATTTATTTCCCCCCACTTAAACCGAGATTCTCATGTCGGGAAGATTTCCGGTGACTATCGTTTCCATTCCACATAGCGTTGCTTCATGGTCACAGTGGAGCGCACCTGCGCGACAAACGAAGATGTTTTTGTGTGAGTAGGGTTGTTTTGGAGCCCTTCCTGTGCTATTTATAGTAATTCTTCAGTTTTTAAGGGAGCTTTCTCATGCTGGATACTGGTTAAAGAGAAGCGTACTTCCTCAAATTTGACATCGCGGACTTCAGCTTGCGTCCCGCAAAATACTCAAAGGGTACATCAGGGGCCTTCCGCTTGTACCCCCTAAAACTGTTTATTCTTGTCGAAACACAAAAAGAACCAGTTTTAAAGTCGATACTCTGTATGGTGTAAGAATGATGGTGGCAGCCAGGGGCTGCGGCCACGGGGGGAAAACGCCCATCACCAGTATCAAGAAAAGGCGGAAGGAAAAAGATGGGTCGAGGGCAGGGAAGGGACGCATCTTCAAAATCGAGGTGCTTTTGAAAGTGCACCTCGGGAAATAGAGGTGCGGAAGGTGTGTCAAGAAGGTGCGCTTGTTTCAAAACATTTTCAGGGCGTGTTAAGACCACAGAGGGCTTATACTGTATATATTAAGACTATGTGTCCAAGGACTGAGAGGCTAGGTGAGGTCCACGGAACGAGAGAGCTCAGTCACGGACAATTCAACGGCACGGATCGGAGCGCCTTAGTGATTTGAAATAAATGCCAGGCATGGATGACGAATAATTAGATGAACTCCCTCCAGAACCACAAGGCAACTTCGAATCCTAAATCTCGTTCTTGACTCTCAATCCTTCATCTCATGACTGAGGTGTGCCCATCGCATAGCGATTCCCACAATACTCAAGTCCAAGTCAACGGCCCTCTCTACTTTTCTATATCAGGCTTTTTTACTCTGAACCAGCATGCGTGCGGCGCTTGCCAGTCTGACAGACTTAGCAGTCGTGTCGACATCGAGTGTGTCCACCCAGACCCAGGATACGTGAACTTCTCCCTGTACTTACCAGGCGCACAGAAGGGACAAGATGGCGTGCGGGAGTCATTTTGAAAGAGACGAAGGAAGACATCGAAATTCATTGCGTGCACGTTGGGTCTGCTTTCCTAGCCAGCACCCTGCCGCCGGAAGGCCGAATAGCCATGGCCCGCCTCGGTTTTCAGGGAGGCGAGAACGGTCTGAACAAGGTCGAGTACTACCCTCAGCCCAAGTTTGGCAAGTATGAAGGGAACATGGGTACAGAAAACATTTTACAATGTGCCGCAGTGTATGGGAAACAAAAGCAGTCTTGTTGGGACCATCGTTGGGACCATATGGCCACCAGGTCGGGCCGCGGAGGAACCCATGCCACTTTATTTCGGGGAGATTTGAAATCTCTTTATTTAAATATCTTTCTCAAGGCTCCAGGACCGCACGCTGGAACCTAGCCAAGATGAGCCCCGTATTAAGTTGTGGACGCGCCGCTACAGCCATCTTAAAGTTCCCCAGGAGCGAGAGGGCCGAGGTTGGCAGTTGCTACGTGACGTCCTGGGTTGGCACACCTTGGTAGCGGAGGAAGCATGTAAGTGGGATATAAGCGACTGGAGGTGGATGTATAATACAGCTTTTGTCTTGCCATTCATGCCGGATGATGACACGTTCCGGTCACGTATCTATTGGCCGGAGAAGGACCTTCATCACAAGATAGGAGCGTAATTTGCGGTGCCACTTTGGCCTTCTATCAGCGTCTTTCCTTGAATGTTCGTGGAGCAAGACACGTAAGAGGGTAGACAAGAATACATAATAAAGATACAGACGTCCTTCCGGCAGAACTAATAGTATTTCCCCCTTGTGATGACCGAAAAGAGGACTGTGGCTATCCGCCTTTTTGAAAGATATGTACTTAAAAAAAATACCCAAGGAGATACGAGAATGAAAGGTTGAGCTGCTTGCTTCACAATTATTTGAGGACCCTTATAGTCACCAGCGTGCATCGGAGACATGCGGAAAAGAAGGCTTTTACTATTAAGTACGTTCCAGCAGATCTATACTTATGGATATGGGCAATCGATCGCGAGAGGCGCAGATCAGTGGATCTCTTACTCGTGTTGGGGGAAGTTTTAAGGAGGGATTTGTATACTGAATAATCCTGGGATCGATTCGGATGGATCGATCCGTATTTGTCGAGTGTACGATGCCCAGGATTTCCTGGATCGCATTCCATCACGTCATTGATCAAAAACAGCCCAAAAGGACCTTCCAGCCGTTGGCGCGGAGTCGCCGAAGGGTCAGGTCAGGGATGAAAAAAGTGATCAAGTGGAAATATATGCCTTGCTCAAAATGAAGGGAAGGCATGGTACACTAAACTACAGCGAGTAAGAATCGAAAATTAAGCGGCAAAGAAGCCTTTCATCGCAAATAACGAAGGACAAAAAAGCGCTCAGGCGCCAGGGAAGGCACGCACGTTCAAATTTAGGTGCTTTTGGAATTACACCTCGGGACATCGAGTTGCGGAAGGTATGCAAAGAAGGTGCGGTTATTTTTTAACATTGTACGGTTATTTTTTAACATTGCAAGGGCGTTTCAAGACCACGAAAGGCTCGTAATGTGTGTATTATCACTATATGACCAAGGACTGAGAGGCTGAGGTGAGGTCCAAGGACTGGAGAGAGCTCCGGGCAACCGTCGCTGAAAACCAAGGATCTGATCGCCTTATCGACATCTTCGTTCTTTGGGATGAAAGGTTTCCTTACAGCTTGACTTTGGATTCATGTTTGCTATCACTTCAATTCTGTGTCCACTTGCCTTCTCTTTGTCCTTTTCGTGTTTTCACTAGATCCTCTTTTTCCCCCTCTCAACCTCCTGTCGCCTACAATTAATACTTCTTGTCAGAACGTGCGAAATTACTTTTCCTTTTGCTCTCTCATCATCCTCAACTTCCTTACGCTTTACCAACCTACACTAACCTGCATACCACTCAACCATTGCAACTTCAGTAATTTAGCATCCATCCACGGCTCCCCTTTCTCCCCGAGCTTGTCCTGGAAAGCATCCTCGGGCTCTTGAAAAAACGAACCCATCAAGGCATCCACTCGAAGGTCATCCTTGACCTAAATCTCACTGTCCACTGATGCACCTGCAATCTCTACTTCGACATCTGCACACAATTCTATGGTCACCTCCTCTTCCGCCTCCCCATTCACCTCTACCTCCGCCTCCCCACACTTACTTCCCTCTGGCCCCCTCGGCTTCTTGGGCCGGAAATTGTAAAGGCTGTCCGCCCAACTATCGCCTGCGAAAATGAGTTCGTCCAGTGTCTGAGGCTGCATCCGGGTTCGCTACTTGGACTTGGTCTGCCCCATTTGGGAGAACAGCCGCTCCACGGCCGACGACGCTGGAATGGCCAGGTAGTGCATCGCCACGATGGTGAGTGCAGGACAGTCCTCACGCAATTCTCATCATACGTCGTGATGCGAATAAACAATCCAAACCGCTGCGGATAACCCAATATCCAGTTAATTCTTCAGTACGACCCCTATTCTCCCTGAGAATGTAGACCAATGATTCACCCAAGAATCTCGTATTAAGATAACCAATACGATCGACAACCAAAGACAACCAAAGACACTGGTCGACGCCAGTCCTGTTGTTTTACGATAATATAACATACAAATGATTAGGTGGACGTAAACTATGACATGATACAGTAGCGATCAGCACATCGCGATACAGACTGTTGGATCCATCAAGGATATAGGTGCAACACTGTAAGATGGCTCGCTTAACCTCCTATCGCCGATCTCATGCTCCCTTAGCATCATCATGTCATCCTTATGTTCGCATCACCCCCACTAGTACTCCTAATCATTTAAATATGATCCATAGCAATAAACCTTGTAACTCACACTTAGATAATAACCATATCTCTAACATATCTACAGCTGATCTCACAGCTGCCTCCAAATGCCAATTAAGACTCACAACCCATCATTCGATTACGTATCATCGCCAATCGGACATTAGATAAAGGTTTTGTCAAAATATCTGCAAGTTGATGTTGAGTAGGAATGTATACCAGTTCCACTTCCTTACTCTCAACCTTTTCACGCACGAAGTGATAACGAACATCGATATGCTTCGTTCTGCTTTGAGTAATCGGGTTATTACTCATCGCAATGCAAGCTTGATTATCCTCCATAATTATGGTAGGGTCAAGCTGCTTTAATCCGAGGTCCTTAAGTAGTTGACGAATGTGAATCGCACTTTGCGTCGCCGAACAAGCTGCTATCAGTTCCGACTCAGCTGACGACAGAGCTACAACATCTTGTTGTTTGGCTCGCCAATCAATCGTGTTGATATTCTCCCCATGACTCAGGGTAAAGGCATAACCAGACGTTGAACGTCTGTTATCCTTGTCACCAGCGTAATCTGCATCTGCGTATCCTACTAGAGTAAAAGATCTCGTAGGGTTACCCATGTACTTGAGTTTAACTTCGCGAGTACCCTTTAAGTATCTTAAGACACGTTTTGCTGCAATCCAATGCATTTCATTTGCCGCCTGCAGATGCTTTCCAAGTGATTGTACCGCAAATGCAATGTCCGGACGTGTAACCAGCGCTGCATACAATAAGCTACCCACTAGCTTCATGTATCCACTATCTGGCTTGACGTCCTTGCCATCCATTTTTGTCAGTGCTCCTTCCATCGGTGTTAACACTGGTTTGCAATCAGCCATTCTAAATTTCGCAAGCATCATATCGACATAGGCTGTCTGAGAGACTTCCATAATTCTCTTCTCTCTATTCCGCTTGATTGCCATACCAAATATCCAATCAAGTTCTTTCAAATCTTTCATGCTAAATTCCTTTGAAATAGCTAGCTTGAAATCATTTACCATATCTCTGGAATTACCAGCAATAATTAAGTCATCCACGTATAAGACGATAAGCAATTTTTCACCACTAGATCCAAACTTCACATATAAGCATGGATCCGCAGAAGAAGGATGAAGGCCGTATCCTCGGAACCAACCATCGATCTTCTTATGCCAGTTTCTTCCGGATTGCTTTAGACCGTATAACGACTTGCGCAGTCGACAAACTAGCTCCTCTCCATCCGGTCCATGTTGCTCATATCCAATTGGCTGTTTAACATATACCTTTTCCTCAAGGTCTGATTGAAGGTAAGCTGTTTCAACATCCATGTTGTCCAGCTCAAGGTCCAATATGCATGCTAATGCCAATATCAAACGAATCGTCGTTATCGATGCAACCGGTGCATAAGTATGGAGATAATCATATCCATACTCTTGACTGTAGCCCTTTGCAATGAATCTTGCCTTTCTCCTTACGATAACTCCGTCTTTATCTCGTTTGTCGGATTCTACCCAACCACTTGAGATGCATCGTTCTCCCTTCGGTAATGGAGTTAGTTCCCACGTGCCATTCTTCATGTGAGCTTCATACTCCACATCTTTGGCTTTCTTCCTTTCAGCTCGCACCTCATTCTCATCTTCCGTAAGATGATAGTCCTCATTGACGATTTCTGAGGCTGCAACGAAGGCCAAATTACCTCCCATGGTTGCAAACCCATCATCTATCCGATGATGTTCACGAGCCTTTGTCTTGCTCCGTGTGCGTCCCATATTGTTCATGTTCCGAACAATATTATCCGTATCCTTCCATCCTGTCGCCCCCACTTGCGACGGATCATCCCTGACATGATCGACTTTACGATCATCGGGTCGTTCGTCTTGATGTAACCTATTTTCGATGCCGTCGTCTTCCTCACTTGTATTAGAAGGTAGTACCTCATCTTCCTGATGAGCCCCCACTGTCTTGATAGAATTCATATCATCTTCTTCCTCATTATGATAAGTTTCAAGTCCAATGTTAGATGGCCTTGCCCTCGCTGGGAATGTCTCCTCATCAAATGTGACATGGCCAGATCTGATATATCTTCCTCGAGAAGGTATATAGATCCGATAACATTTAGGATTATTCCCTATGTCATCGTAGCCAATCATGATTCCTTCCAAGGCACGGTCATCAAATTTTCCTCTCCTAACAGACGTATCGTAGACGAATGCCTTGCATCCAAAAGTTCTAAAATGCTTTACACTAGCATGCTTTCCGAACATTTTATAGTAGGGCGTTTCATCTGGCCCCAATGCGGAATTCCTCGATCTGTTCAAAATATATGCAGCAGTATTGAGGGCTTCAGCCCAGAAACCCTTTCCCAATCCAGCCTGTATGCGAAGACTTCGAGCCATGTTTGATAATACATGCCATGACTTTTCAGCAACACCATTATCCTGCGGTCCATATGGTATACCAAAATCTTGTCTAATACCATGATTTTTGCAGAAGTTCTTAAAGTCTACGCCAGTGTATTCACCTCCATTGTCCGATCTTAATCCGCGCAAAGTATTCACTTTGTGATCACGAAATGATATATTCATATCCTGTATATATCGCTTCAGACAATCAAGTGAGTCCGACTTATGTTTCATCGGATACACTACCCTCCATCGGGTGTAATCGTCCGTAAATCCTATCGCGTATCTTGCGCCCCCAAGTGACTCTACTTCAACTGGTCCAAGTACATCTGTGTGAACTAGTTCGAGAGGCTCCTTTGCCCTCTCCCTAGATTTAGTTCCGAAACTCTTTTTGGTGTGTTTCGCACGCTCACATGTTGCACAAACGCCGGGTTTCTTTATCCCTTTTGGCACTCCGGTATCATCAATTTCACCCATTTGTCTCAGGTATTCATAATTGATGTGTCCGAACCTTTGATGCCATAATTCGGGTCAGCTAACTACATTAGCCTCCTCACGTGATTTTCCGTAGTAGTCTAACATATACATGTTATCTACCTTTCTCATCGGTAAACACGTGTCACCCATTTCAATCGTACCCTTTCCTTCACGGATAACGATTTTCCCACCAGCCTTATCTATTTTAGCCATAGATAACAAATCACGACTCAGATTTGGCACCACAATCCTTAGACATAACACCTTTAACAGTCCCATCGCTGTGCTTAACATCCATAAGCCAGTCTCCGATGTTATGTACTTCTAGTTTCTCCCCGTTTGCCACATATACGTGACCATAATGTCGCCTGACATTAGTCAATCCTGTAGTATCCCTTTTCATATGGGATGTAGCTCCGCTATCCACCATTACCGAAGATGCTTGTGGTTCCACAACACTTTCATATCTTTTCTTGGTTGCCAACAAGCATGTGTAAGAATGCTCCGTTTTATTCTTGGGGCATTCATTTCCCCAGTGGTCTGCGCTTCCACAATAGCGACAACCATTTCCGCCGTGCAATCCTTTGCCACGACCACGTCCACTTCGGCCTCCACGGCCTCCAGTTCCCCGTCCGTGACTAATGCGCCCGCCTTTCTCTGGGCCATTGTAGGGGTTGCCAGGTACACGCTCATACCGGCCCAATTTGTTTCCATTATGGGGAGGTCCCGCTCGGCCTCCACCATTCCTCTTTACGAGGCATTCAATTTCCTTATGCCCGTATTTCCTGCACCAATTGCAGTATCCATTGAAATTAACGGCCAAGCACTGGTCATCCTTGACCTGATTGGCTATATTTGTCACAAAATGATTGCTCATTTTTGACTTTAAGTTAGCGTATGTCATCGACTCTTGGGTCTCCAAACTCACTTTAACAATTCCATATACCGATGGAATTTTGTTAATCAAGTGTGTGAGAAGCATGGATTCATTAACATCCACGTCGAAACGATTTTTCATTTTTCTTGCCAGCTCCTCAGCTGCTTCAAAGGTCTCCCCCGGGTCGCCATTCTCACTGAAGTTGAGCAGGCTGAACTCAGACATAAGCAATGCCTTTCGAGTCTCTCCTCTCAATTCATATTTGTCAGTGAGAGCTTTAAACGCACCAGCTCCATCCTTATTCAAACGGAATTTTTCGATAAGGTTTGCTGCCGCTCCTCTCAGGTACTTCTTAAGCGTGAAGTAACCTTTCGCATTCTTCTCATCATAAGATTTTACCTCGTCCCCAGAAATCGGTGATTTGGTTAATCCAACAATGATATCTGCCATGCCTGGGTCCTTGGCACCAATGAAGCTTTCAACGTCGCGTTTCCACGCGTCCCAATCCTCCAATCTTCCACTGAAGATTGCCATTCGATACTCATCATTATCTTCCATGATTTCACAGTTGTGAGCCTGGCCAGCCGTACGTACAGCCTCCAGATCCAATTAAATGCTGTTATTAATCTAGCAACCAATTGCGAATTAAAGCAGTCCTGAATCTCTGCAAATCCAATTGCACCAAAGAGATTCAATCAACTCAGTCCTCTATCTCTGCAAATTCAATTGCACCAGAGATAGGACGTTGACCAGTGTCTTGAATGATCAGTTATTTATTCAGTTCAAAGGTTAGGTCAATTAGGGCCCATAACCTGATGCGAATAAACAATCCAAACCGCTGCGGATAACCCAATATCCAGTTAATTCTTCAGTACGACCCCTATTCTCCCTGAGAATGTAGACCAATGATTCACCCAAGAATCTCGTACTAAGATAACCAATACGATCGACAACCAAAGACAACCAAAGACACTGGTCGACGCCAGTCCTGTTGTTTTACGATAATATAACATACAAATGATTAGGTGGACGTAAACTATGACATGATACAGTAGCGATCAGCACATCGCGATACAGACTGTTGGATCCATCAAGGATATAGGTGCAACACTGTAAGATGGCTCGCTTAACCTCCTATCGCCGATCTCATGCTCCCTTAGCATCATCATGTCATCCTTATGTTCGCGTCACGTCGATAGTACGAATATTGTCGAGGCCTATCGCCTGCGTTAGTTTGCATAGGTACTTGGCGATCTTCAACGCCACACCGACCCCCTTTTCCAGACATACACCATCGAATTCGAGTGAGGGCCCTAGTTCTAGCCCCATTACACTCGCCAGTGCACCGACGGGAACGTCGTTGTGGAGCGCCTCATCCTCACTTTCCGCCATCGAAAACTCCTTTAAGCTGCCTGCCTTAACATTGCCGCCATCGCCTCGCTTCTCCCCGCGTTTCTTCTCGCCATACATGTCCTCTTTTGTCAGTGCGGAAATGGTCTTACCCGTCAGGTGGTGTATCACACACCACGCTTTCTTCCATACGTAATTGTCGGGGTCATTGTATGTAAGATGGGTCCAGACACATCGCCATACCTAGCGTCAGCATGCATCGAGCTTGAATCGACGCATTATGTCAGTGCGAGCTTGCCTCAATATTTGTGGTACAGAGCGATGCAGGTCGGATAGTGCCTACTTTGTCGATATGGCGGGGAAGCCTCTACCGCCGTCAGGCAACACCACCGCGATTTTCGATGTGCGACTCAGCTGCTATATGAGGTGGAAGTACGAGGGCACCACGAGGGGGGCGGTCGCGCCTTCCGCCTGGAGCATTGTGGTAAGCCTTTGAAAAGGCTCGTATGTGGCCTCTCTCTGCGCGAGGTTGGAAAAATCTTCCATCGTCGGTTAAGTGTCGGACTGGGAGACCCCAGAGGACTCTGCGGGATTTCGATAATCGTCCATTGAGTGAGCAGTGCGGGAGGCCCCGCGCTGCTCGGTCGCTCGCTCCGCCATGTCATGGGTAGAGCTCCGTCGCGTCTGATTTCCCATGACCAAAGCGTGTTGTGGGGCACCCATATTCTCCTGTGCCTCCCGCAGATACCCTGCCTGGACGTTGCTGTGGCGGGTGCCAGCGACAGCCTTCCTGGTGCGCTTGAGAGCGGTGAGGATATGGTCCACTAACTTTCAAGACACCGCGATGGTGCGCTGGATGCCTCGGAAGAAAACACAGCAAGGACGAGACACCGGCATCCCTAACGCCTTTGATGACCTTAACGTCAGCGTCGTGCACTAATCGGAAGATTGCTTTCACAGGTCTTCCGAAATCCTGCAGTGTCGCTTCCACGTACGTGGCCCACGGATCAAAAGAAGATCGTACGTGGCCCACGGATCAAAAGAACTCAGTCCTACCTTTCGCCTACCTTTCTGAGCGCCAAAGCGTCTTTTTTCTTCTTTGTTTGAGACGAAAATCTTCCGTTCAGCTTGACTTTCTATTCTTACAGTGTCGCTTCCACGTACTGCTTAACGACTGCGGCAGTAACGTGTTTCGTATCTACCTTCGTACATGCTAGACAAAACTGCTTCTCCTGGAAGCCGTTCTTTGTGAGTTTTATCGTGGGAAAAAGCACGCCCATGTACTCCACCTGTCACATGTCCGTCCACATGTGAGGAGAAACGCAGCCCACCATAAAGCACAGAGCCGCCGAACCTGATAGTTGAAGCGGACGAATGAAATCGAGAATCAAGCCCCGCGCTGCTTCATCCATAGCTATCGAGAGCTCTTTGATTATTTGGCGAACGAGCACGATATATCTGGGGTTCAGGAAATAGACAAACTCACGAAAACTCCAATCGTCAGCGCTGCGAGACGACAGTCGCGGATCAGGAAGCCCACGAGCTTGACAGTGTCCACTGCCTGCGTTTCGGCCAAGTAAGGGTCTGTGTCGGTCATCTTGCGCTGCACCGTGGCAGTATCGACGTACAATAGAAGGGTTTCTTCCACAACCTATGGATCTTTCGCTTGCACATAGATAGGGGTATTAAGGAACATTTGTTTATCCTGTTTCCGGGATAATCCTCCTCCGCGCGAAGGGCCTCTCCATCCTCTGAGTCAGCTGAGACTGTTGAGGCCATGGCCAAAGGAGAAAGTTCCGGTTTGAAATGACATTCTGTGGACGCATAGAGGTAAATAACATATGATTGATGGTGAATATATGGACAATAAATAAAGGGCAAAAAAGGTGCGCACTGACGCGAATATAAGGATGACATGATCTTCGCACCATTTCGAAGGTGCGAGCCTTCCCTGGCTATATCGTTGCAGCCGTTTTACACGTTACTACTGGGTGTTAGCGAAGGTGTAGAACGACTCGCAGCAGATCACCACAGTGAAATGTTATGATTTGCTTCCGCCTAATCATTTTGAATAATAATTCATTATTATACCACAACAGGACTTGCGTCGCCCAGTGAATTGGTAAGAGATTCTTGATTAAATCTTTTGTGAATATTCTCAGGGAGGCATGAAATCAGCTCCACGCAAATATTTGACTCGACTACAACAGCAAACCACGAAGTGGGCGCGGTTGATTTCATTTGTGTGCATTAGCATAATTCTGTGTGCCTTTATTAAGTACTTGGACGGAATGAAGATCTCCGTTCAGAGGATTCCGTCAACAGCCACTCTCCAAAATAAAGTCAATGAAGTAATAGATTACACGTGCGCGGACTCTTGGGTACTTAAGCATATCAACACCAGCATGCAGCGACAAGTAGAAAAGAGGACCGCAGAATGGTATGACTCCTTACCCCTGCAGCTTGAGCGCGCTTACGACAAAGTGTCATGGCAACAAAGTGGAAATCCTAAACCCTCAAGCGAGCCAGACAAATGGGATCGCTTTGACGTCATGATGCCCGTCATGGCAGGCGCATGTGAAATGCAAAGAATGCCAGAAATGAGCGACGATGGAAAATTTATTTGTGGTATCAAAGACATCCCCAATGAGGCACAACGACCTTGCATTGTCTATTCAATTGGTACGTCTTGGTCTCATACGGGTCCAAAATATTAGAAGAATCTAGCTGATTTCATTGTTCGTGCTCCATCCATCCTAACCTTAAATAACAACAAAACCAAGGTTCTGCTGATCGATGGGACTTTGAAGCGGCGATTTATAAATCTA